GTAAACTATGCATGACAAAGCAAAAACTCAATGAGAGGAGATAATATGTTGTGGCCGTGTCAAAATTCGTTTGTAAGAAAGTGTTCAATAGGCTTTAAATATCTAACAGGAAGCCATTTGCGGCCAGTTCAATTCGAAAAGGTGAACGCTCTTGCTGTAATCACCAAGGTTGCACAGGGGGATCATAGCGAGAAATAGAGCTGAAAATCTTTCGAATCACATGGGTAATTATATTCATGATAATTATTGAAGAAATTCGTACTCTCCTTGGCCAGGTTATATCTGAAGTTGCTAAGAATCGATCACCGACTCCGTTTGTGGTTCAGTGGATTTTACGTCACATACCGGACATTGACAAGTGGAGATCGTTTATACCTGATACACAACACACACCCAATCACGCAGCCGTCAACGAGTTGCTGAATCAGTTCTTTAGCAATTCAGCCTTCCCTGCAAGGTACAGTCAAACAATCTGTAACCACTAAAGCGCTTTTTAGTTGAGTGTCTTGAAAATCAAAACAAATGCCAGAAAAACAAAACAAACGTAAGTATTACAATGAACCAATAAAAAATCCACCAAAACTCTGCAAGCTACATAAAGTACAGGTGAAGAAGTTGAGATTGGTTCAGTTTGCATTTGCATGGTAACAAAAGAATATGGTTTATAATCTCTTGATGGTAGAGTGTATCGTGCGACTTTTAGACTAATTGCAACATGCAGCGAAGTAAAACAATTGCAGTCGTGGATTACCTTTGACGCTCGTTTGAAAATTGCGCCATTCTTCTCAAACATATGCCGCTTAGGCTTCTGATCATCGTAATGAGAATGTTTTCGTCGTGCAGTTACCAGCGAGACCATACTCTGAGTACAGCTGTGGGTGGGGATGTCATTAGAGTATTTCAGGAAATTCCCGAGAAAAGATTTGCCTAGGAAGGCGTCTCCAGATTTCTCGTAGTGGAAAAAGATGGCGTCGAGGATAGTAAAATAGTTATTGTAACTGTAGCAATATCAATTTGCCCAGGTTTAGAGAGATCCTTTTTTTTAGATACTTTAGCACTCATGTATGCGTGTACCTCTGAGCATCTGAAAGTCTGACAAGTAATTTTTTTTCTCTTTTGATTTCATTTGGTAACAGTGAAAACCACGAAAAGATCTGTCCCTCAATGTTCTCTTCAGTCTGGCACTGGGTTATTTAAGATGTATACTACCATTCGATTCAGAGTATCTACAAATCTCCTTAACATTTATCAATTGCATAAATACTCATGCGCAGCGTTATGAATTGCCTTGAACTTAATAATAAGTACTTTGAAACTAATGCGATATTCAATAGGTAACCGATGTAGAGAGCGCAACACAGGCGTTATGTGGTCATATCAAGAGATGTTACGAATACTACGAGCAGTTGAATTCTGAACACGTTGTAAATAAAACAGGTGGAAGCTATGCGCTTTCGTACAAGATTTGAATTAGTTACGATATAACTTGGTACTTGACTCTGCTTACATATCCATAATTTTTCACGTATACTTTTCCCAGTCAAGCTAATTGGGATGAACATTGTACGAATGTATCCAGTGCCTTGCATCACGTGTTAAACGCGTCGCAGTGGGAATCAAAAGCAGTACCTTCCGATCATCTACAGGTAATCTGATTAACATGAAAGTTCTCCCCATAGTATCCATACATTATCCAGCAAACAGGTAATGAGAATAATCAAATTTATCAGGTAGAAGTTGTTATCCTGATCTAACACCAAATTCTCATAACTGATTTAAAAGAAATGTGAAGCAGCAAGAAGGGAGAATTAACAATTAGATCGCGGGAGTTAAAGGGTTAAATTCCAAACTGCAAAGAGAAGTTAACTGTAAACAGACAGTGGAAGCTAATATGATAATATGTTAATTTGCTCATGCAGAGTGTATATATATTGCGTTGCGCCTCCTTACTAGTCCTTAGTGACTGCTAGGTTGTGTAACTGAAAGAAATTAGGCATGTTTGATTTTGGAACCAAGCAAAACTATGAAAGGAAAAAGTGGATCGGCATATGGGAATTAAGATAGAAGTTATTGTAAACCTCTTTTAAGGGTTGAAAGACCAAGACTAAAGTTAAGTCAATCACAACAAAGCGAAATATTAAGAACTTAATAGAACATGAATTTGCTCGAAGCGCGGGGAAACGGGCGAGTAAGGTACGGTTTTAGTTTTCCATCTGATCAGTCGAGAGGCTGGGCCGAGTTTCTAGACCAATCAGAGAACACAGTGGAGCAAATCCAGTGCAATGTTGGATTGTCTTTCATCACGACGGCAATGACATTTATTTTTCACGGGCATTGTTTAAAGAAATAATTTGGATTTATCAACAAAGTTGAAATGGTAAATTGGCCAGGAACGCTTTTCATTCCAGGGATCAACGAACGCTTTTCATTCCACTAATTTTTTCTTTTTTTTTCTCGTTGCCATGTCCCACCAAAACGTAGCTCCATTTTCTGCCTTTAAAAGCACCCACAACCCACAATTCCTCTATTCGCTCCGTCGAAGGGCTGACGCTCGAAACGTCAGCTTTTGTAATCGTTACGGTGGCCAATTTACCATTTCAACTTTGTTAATATATGCTGGAATTAGATTGGTTTCGCTGTGCTTCGCTCCGTGATTCGCGGGGGGAGCTTGCACCTCCTTTTCGACTAATCGAATAATATGAAACATACGTTTCTTCCTGCGCTGCAGGCCATGTGCTTATTTTTTAGTTCGAGGTCTCATTCGCTCCATGGGACATTTCTTTTGTTCAAATTGGCTGTTAATATTATCATTAACATCTCTGAATCATTACTGGTGTCTGTATCATTGTCATTATTATTATTATTATTACTATTGTTTATTCATTTCTTTCTTCTGTGTGTGTGTGTGTGTGTGCATGTGTGTGTGTGTGTGTGTGTGTGTGTGACGGGGGGGGGTTGCCTATGACTTGGGGTTCAAAATCGGTGTGGCTCGGGGACCAAAATCGGGTTAGTTTGGGGACCATCAGCGGTTATGGCATAAGAACCGAAATCGTTTCTGGCCCTTAAGTCATTTAATAGTGCTGAACTTCTTCAAGGCAGGTCAAATTGATACTATACACAGGTTCCTTTCTTAATAATGGGAAATTTCCCGAATGTATTGCTCGGCACTTTAATTTAGCTCACTATCATCAAGTCTATTTAAAACCATATTTGTGAAGCAGTTTATTCCTTTGTTAAAGGGGGGGTGGGGGGGGATTTTGAGACAATAACGAAACTTCGCTCTTTTACCAGAAGTTTTGAGTAATTTTTTAGAATTTAATTATTAAACGCGAAGTGCGCTAGAGAATGGCATGGCAATCGTGATTGGGAAATTTCCTCTATAGCCTTTCTGTTGATCGTGTCGTTCGAAGTTGCCAAATATTTTGTCGTACTTGATATCTAGGATGTGTTTTTAGCTATTTATAACACTAGATATTAAAGTCATAATAGATGTTTACTCGAGAGTCCTGTAATTGAATTTTCCAACCAATATTTGCTGTTCTTGCAGTAAGCGCAAAAGGGTGGAAACAAGTAACTCTTTTCAGGAGTGTTAGACAAAATTATCCCTCCCCGTGTTTTCCAGTTCACTCTTTACCACCTCGTTAACAGCATGGTATCTCATGGTTAACAGCCCTATCTGTCTGAAGTCAAACCAGTCATACGGGCGTGGTCTAGAAGTTGAACTCCGGACTGGTAGTCAGAATAGCACTCCATCCTAGGACCCCTCAATTACGATCCGACACGGTCAACGCTTGATCCACTAATTAAGGCTACTGGTTGCTGAAGACATCTAACTCAATAGCCCCAATAGCACAATTGTGTACCCTGGTAAAGATTCGTGACCCTGAAAACCTTTTCCTGCCCAGCGAAATATACTGGGTTGGGAGTATACTAGAAAAAGTGGGTTACCGCTCGGTACGCCCTGACAAGATGAACCTACGAAAATCGCTGGTGTTTTGTACTATTAGTTATCTCTGAAAAAGGAAAGTTGCGATCATAGTAGAAGATTTTTTTTTTTTTACTGAAAAAGACAATGTATAGAAAATAAATAATAAAAAGAAAAACTCAAGGGAAGAGTCTAATTGTCTATTTTGTGTGTGTCAAATTTACTTTTTGGGATTTGAAACTTAGATTTTCACTCTACAAAAAAAAAAGCCTTGCACTTACCAATGATATAAGTCCCCGTTAAGAGTTAAAAAGCTGACGTTTCGAGCGTCAGCTCTTCGTCAGAGCGAAACGAAGGGCTGACACTCGAAACGTTAGCTTTTTAACTCTTTACGGTGGCCAATTTACCATTTCAGCTTTGTTGATATATCCAAATTATTTCGTTACTCCCACCGACGCAGCCCCAAACAGTTTCTTTCGAAACTATCAGCCTCTATTCATTGTTTAAAGAGTTCTCCAACAGACCATTTTACAGTTGTGTATTTAGTTGCCAAGCCATTGATGAGGAGTGAGGCTGAAGGTGACCTTGTTGTGGTAGAGACCAGTATATAGTTAACATCATAACAAAATGATTTACAATTGAAAGGCAGCAACGTTTGTATCATAACAAGGTTACCCTTAGCCTCACTCCTGTCCAAAGGCTTGGCAACCAAGCACGCAAGTGTTAAATGAACTATTTATGTTGTTCGCCTTAGTTGACAAACAACTTTGTCAAATGTTCATGACTGTCTTTTTGGAGCCACGTTGTGTCTAGCTCCTTTAATCATTATGATAAAAATAATCTGTTAACAGCGAAACGTTTTATGCGTAAGTGATTTTCAGTGGGTATTTTCTAAGGTCTTACATTGAATCTATTAATAAAGTTTGGCTCTACAGATTCTCAACTCTATTGCATTGCTTTGATTATCATCATTACTCTTTTTTTTTTTCTTTCTCAGAAATTGTGCGAACTCCTCAAGTACGAGGCACCCGCATTGGCGGTTTGTGCTTGTTCGTGGAGCTGTGGACACATTTACACCTTAACCGCGGAGGAAAGAAAGCATCCTATGCGGTAAAACTATTATACATACAATACATACAAGCAATATTTAAACTTGAATCACTTGTTCCATATGTAGCTCAGTGATGAGCATTCCTGTAAAAACAATTGTTACTTATGTTTCGTCACGGTTTTAAAGGCGGATGGAGAGAACCAAGTCAGTTTGGGCATAAATTGAAACTCAGTTGGTTTATTAATTTCCCTGTTATTCTTTGTTAGGCTAGTTGGACTCCTTGTAAAGCCTGTGAATCCAAGAGGATTTTCCCAGGGATTTGTGGACAGGTAAACATTGTTAACTTGAAGTAATTGTTGTTGGAATAAACGGAGGCGTTTATGAATGTGACGGAAACTGAATGCGTTTCGTTTCTTTTCGGAAATGTTCTGATCCGATTAATCACAGAAATTTAACAGTTTCGTGTTACCTTATTATTGTCACATGGAGTAATTGCTAGGTCCAATTTGCGGTTCGTCTCCTTCGTTGAAAGAGTAAGACTCTAAGCAGAGAATTCCGTTTGTCCACGCTAACCTTGTTTGAGGCAAGAATTCATTTTGCACAATTTTCTTGCTTTACAGGTGCGCGATGTTGTGTGAAGTTATGAAGACGATGTCATCCAGTATTGAGGGTAAAGGTAAAAACTCATCCGGTGTGAACATTTGTTCTATTTAAATGTGGGTCAATGGTCTTTGTGGCTGCAGTAGTACTGGGAGAGAGGATCTTTTTTCACCCCTTAACAAAGAAATATAATTTGGTCGCAACAAACTGTCGATGAATCCTGGTAATTTAAGTGGGCGTGAATGCTCGCGTGTGTTGAGCGAGGAGAGAGAAGGGAGAGGGAGCTGAGTGGAGGAAAGGGGTGGGGGCTCATTAGCAGCCAAGGAAGGTAATTGTTGAGTCGTTTGTCTCATATTCAGCTCTGCGCTATTTCAACTTTCTGTGCCTGTTTACTCTACAGACAACACGTGGGACATTGACAATCCGATATGTAAAGGCGAGCCTGTGTCAAAGGTGAGATTTTAGATTAGTATCAAGTCACTCCAGTCAAGGCATACTGGAACATTTTGTGAAACTAGACACATGTACAGAGGAAATATTGCTGGAGAAATCTAGGCCATTGGAGGATGAAAGAAACAACGAGGACGTGAATCGATGATGACGATGATGATGATGATAATGATGATGGCATAAAGCTCTCTGTGATGGGTTTGTTAAGTTATTTTGCACAATATTTTTTGTGTTTCCTTGTCTGGTTACTCTACAGACCCTTGCATCATTGTTCACAAGCGTTGTCAAAGCACGGCAGCTGAGCAGTAAGACACTTAAACGGTTCAGACATATGTTAATCATGGGAGGAAATGAATGGTTTATTTACTGTATAATCCAGGTTAGGATACTCTTGTCGCGATCATTTCAGTGCAAATCTGTTGTTACATGAGATAAGTTAAATTTTGTTTCTCATACACTGCCGGCTCCTTCAATGCTGGATTGCCATCTCGCGCAGCAAATGGCGTTATCCTGTAACAAGGCGCGTAGCGCCGAGTTGGCTATAATCATCTCATATCCAACAAACGCGAGTGGAATAATTGTTTTATTGAAAACGTTAAATTAATTTATTAAATTTTATGAAATTTTTAGCTCCCTTTTAATTTTAAGCTGACGCGTGCGCTGACCAGGTTTGTAGATTATGGTATATTGGCTCATATACCATAATGGCTAAGCCAATAAAAAGTCTTGAATTGCATTATCCAATGATCCAGGTTTTAATAATAGCAATTATTAAAAATCTGGATCATTGGATAATGCAATTCAAGACTTTATATTGGCTTAGCCATTATGGTATATGAGCCAATATACCATAATCTAATATCTGTACATTGTAACATCCGGTTTCTTCTTACAAAATAAAGTCGAGAAGATTTGTCTAATATCTTGGGGGCGTTTTTTTTAATAAAACAATTATCAGATAGGAGTTGTGTTTTTGATCAGAAAACAAATTTGTGTAACTAAATTACAATCAGATCTTGGGAGGTAAAGGGCTAAGTCAATTATAGGTCACTCTTGTTTCGGAGGATCTTAAAGTTCAATCCTGGGTCGCAAAGCACAAGTGCATATGCATACGTTGGAGACCATATCACCCGATTCTAGAAATATCATGGAGGAATTGCATTTGAATAAAGGCCTATAGAGGGAATTCAGTTTCTTAGCTTGATTCTCTCTTCCAATAGTGTACTTTGTACGTGGTGCAGTTAGCTGACCTGTTGTTATTTGTTGTATCGCGGGTAATTGGGGTCACTAGTGTCCTTGCTTGCTCAGATAAGGCTTAACATCAAACGTGGCGAGAGATGTCGCTTTGATTTTTTAATTTTAATGGTGCTTACACAAAGTACCGTGTAGGAGTCATGCTATTGGTTAGGAAGGTGCTTTTAACATTACAATCAATGGTTTTTATATCTCTCTGACTCAGGAGGTGTTAAAGTGCAGCCGACATCGAGACATCCTAATGGCAGGTCAGTTATTACATTTAGTTAAGTAGTGTCCAGTTTTCTTTGAAATTCGTCAGTGAGCTAGAGGCACTTTTCCTTTCTTGTCCTTGTTTAAGTGAAAATAGAAAGAGGTTTGTTCGATTGTAATTTGGTGAAATTTCCAATTCTTTGTCGTTTTCTCCTACTCCATGAGTTGAACGCTGATTTATCTCGAGAAAGAGAACTCACTCACAGTTTTCAGTCTATTTAAGCAATAGAACACATTTTTCCGAGCTTTACACGTGATGAAGCCACTTGGATGTTGGGAGAATATGAGGAAAGTTTACACATCATTTGCCTTCGGCTCGTGATTTCTTAACTTTCCGAGTGTTCTCCCAACATCCCAAGTGTCTTTATCACGTTCTAGAGCTCGGAAAAATGGGTTCTCGTGGGGGCTTTTATGACATAACTAGTTACATGCGGGCTCCATCACCTGATAAAGCGTCCGCTTGGAAACTGAATTGACCAATCTGAGGATGTGTACTATGTCCATTATGTTATAATTAACAACTATTCACCGAAGTGGAGGTGGTTAGGGGTGGATATTTACCGAGCCGCTTCGCGGCTCGGTAAATATCTACCGCTAACCACCGACACCGAGGTGAATAGTTGTTTTAGTATACACTAAAACAGTGAGATAACATACACCACCGTCGTTAATTTGAGTGATTTCTTCGCTTGTCACTGATGCAAACCGGGACGCCATTTTTTCCCGAGTTGCTCGGAGGTAAATAGCAAAGGATATTCGGAGTTTGACTAGCCAATCAGAGCGCGCCTTCAACGCTATCCACTGTTTTAGTATATGCTAATTCTAAATAGCTTAGAAACCGGTTCTCACCCTTACCTTGTTTAAGTCTTCTTCGTTTGCACAATTTTTCTTTTTGCCTTCCTTACGAAAATTAAGATGTCATAGTTGAAATGTATCTGTAAGATAGTGTTACATTGTCCAAACTGTTTTTTTCTATCATTATTATTTTTTTCGTTATTGTCTATTAGCGGACTTGGCGAGTTGTCTTTTAACATTTGACTCCGAGAACCTTGTACCTTGCTTTCTTGAAAAAGTTCTACCACTGGTTATGAATCACGTAGAAGCTGAAACAATGTTAGAAGACCCAAAGGTAGAGTTGTCAGTTTAAATCGGTTTTTCCTGATTGTTTGGACACCGCTGTATGCTCATATTCAGCTCCCATGCCATATATGACCCATACTATCCACTTTGTTCCGCGATGGCAAAATACTTTGTCGTAATATCTCAGCCGTATGATAAATCTTGTACTGGCCCGCGGGTGTGTTCTGGTAAGATAGTGAGGTGTTAGCTTTGCTCTCTTCATTATGGACAAAAGAGGAATCGTGGTCTATGAAAACGCAAGAAAGACCTTGGCCATAGAATGCGCAACAGTCGTAGATGTTTCCTCTCGTGAGCTTTGCGGAAGTCACCCAAAGTAACGGAACTTCCGAGGGAGAGCCGAGCTCCCTTACGCCCCTTGCCTTAACGTGACTAACGCTTAAATCACCCATCTCCCACTTGGCTAAGATAAAACGTTAAAGACTTTTATGTGGGTTAACCTGGTTAATATCGATTCAACTTGACCTTCTACTTGGTTCTTGCATTTTCTTTTCTCCAGGGTTGGGCCATTGCTCGGCTCATGGCACACGCTGTGTGTTTGGGAATGACCATAGAACATACGCGGTCGAAAGGAGATTTAACTGATGGCGAAATCACACGGTAAGAAATGTGAACACAATTTACTGTAGATGTATTGATCTTTACCAACTCCCTATTTGAATGTCAGGGCCAGGTCTCCCTATGTAGTTGAATTAAATCTCTCGGTGAAGTAGATGCTTAATTATCTTTTTTTTATTCTTGTTATGACTTTCTCTTTTCTTTTTCAATGCTAGTCCGGCTAAAATACAGAGGCTGGACAGTTTTCCCTCTCTCTACAATTCCACGTCTTCATCGCGCGTTCAACAGACTCTTGGTACGTTCATTTTGAAGCGATTTTTAGTGTTCGACGAGTCGCAGGGTTCACGCCCCATAAACTATCAAATTTCTTCTTTTCTAACATTTTACTTGGCCTTATTCCGATTTGTGTTACTAATAACTGTTTACATCTAGAAATCAACTAAGGGTTAACCATTCTCACCTTCGTATTACTGTGTTCATTTTCAAAACAACCTTATATCGGTTGGAAAATTATTATTTACAGTAGCTTATATTTGGTAATTTGTTTTTCGGCCGCAGACAACAATAGACTGGAAACAGTCTCACGTCATATACATATATATTTTCTTTATCAGTAACCATCATATTGTGATGAGTTCCGAGAGGCAAGATTTTTTACCTCTAGCTTGATCTATTCATTAGTTCACCTTTGTGAGGATTTTATTGCCACCATTAAAACCACCGAGGTTGGACCGGTTCCAGCTCTGTTGGTGTCTTTCCTTCAACAAGCTGTCGCCAGTATTGGAACCATCGTTGGGCCACTATCGGCTTGTCTTCCTGAAGATTTGGTGGGTACCTCTTGGCCAGATTATTCCTTTCTTTCAAACGTTTCCTAATCTCCAGTACCGAGGGAGGGATCAAATTTCACAATTACGCCTCAAAGATCTTGTTATACATTACTTCCAGTACAGTCTGTTCAATACTTTACTTGCCATTCTTGATTTTTCCACAACACAATGTAATCTTTTCATGCAGTTGTTTTTCTTAAGCTTCATAAACATACTTAGACTTGAGCAAAACCTCGGTAAATCTCTTTAACAACGTTGAATTTCACTCCTTCGAGGATACTGATTTATCTTTGTCTCGTTCTCATCCCCTTCACATTCCCTCAAAGAACAACTCGTCCTCAACCCTTTTACACCTTAGTACAGCATGCATATTCTCCATACTGTTCCTTGGACACTTCTAAGGTGCGAACAGGGAGAATTTGTTCAACAATCGACGGCTTTTGTTTTTTTTAGTTGGTGATCGTCTCCCTTATTCTTATGACCTTCCTATGTGATTCAGGGGTGATATTGTAAGGAGAAATTAGATGCTGGTCACTCTTAGGGGTTAAAGGGTTAAACGTGACTAGCGTACTTATATTATTTCAGGTGAAGGAAATATTGGAGTTATCACCCAGTCTGCAAAACACACCTGATGTACTTTTGGGTTTGTGTAACATGAAGACAACAGAAGGTCGACAGTTGTGTGCCAAGGCTTTGTGTAGTAGTATTTGAAGAAAAATTCGCCCAAGGGATTGGAGAGAGTCCTGTGGCATTGATGGTGCTAAGGTTTGTTTGCGTAATTGACTTAAACAGAAGTCAAGAGAAGCAGTGGAAATTGTTGACGCGAAAGCTGTCAGCTGATGCGCGTTCCCCCCGGAAACAGAAACTCTGCATGGGATACAACGATTTCAAGGAAACAGATCGAAATTTTGAAGGCAAAAAACAACACATACACAAAAACAACAACCACAACAAGACTGAGCAGCAAAAGTGAAAGTTTATTTCAAAGAAGTAGAGTGTGGGAAGAGAGAAATTGAAAACAACACCTCTAGGTACAAGGGTCGGAAGAGAGAGGACTGAAAACGAGACCTCAAACTACCAGGGTCGGAAGTGATAGGACTGAAAACCAGGGCTGGGAAAGGTCTGACAAATAGGCCAACTCTCAGTTACTCCAAAGTGTCCATTTCAGAACGGGATGAGAGGGGAGCCATCGATATAAAAATGATTTCTTATCTCATACAAATTAAACTCATTTCGCAAATTAGGTCGTGGTTATTCATCGTGTTAAATAACACTTAAAAGGGAAATGTAATCATTTGTCGCACGATGTGAGACATTTAACTTCTGTCGTGTTTTGGATTTACTATTTATTCTATCGTTTACGTTCATTGCTCGCGTTGCAGAAATCAGGAAAAATGAGAACTAGAGATTGTAAATACATATATACATTTTTAAATGATATCTTTGTACAAGAGAAGTAAAATATGAAGATAATTTCTGGTTCACTGTACTGGTGCAAGCTTGTAAACTTATTTATGGGGGCTTTCGATTTAAATACCTTTAGCCGTAGTTGAAAATGGTGATGGCATTCACGGGGGAATAGTATAAAAGTCACTTCTTGGCCCAACCTTGCCGTAAGTGGCTTTTAAGTTTTGAAAGTCGGAAATCGGCTGATGAGGAGGTTTCGGGCCTTCTTACACTACTTCCGCCAATTTAGTTCAGAATGTTTCATTAACTTCATGTGACACGTAGCAACACTGTTAGGTTCGATCTGAATGATCAGAATCCAAGGACCATCTTTGCGAAATTACCTTTGAGTTTTGCAAACATTTGCGATGGTTTAGTTGCCGGACAGGATGATATCCAGCGGGTGACGTGCTTCCTGAGTCACTAAAAGCCTCCTGTCTCACTTGACAATTTATTTAATTAACAAAGTACCCGTGAGAAACGGCAGTTTCAATTTCATATCGTACCTAATGTGTCTTCAAACCATATTCATATTCAGTCTGCTGATCAGAAAAAAAGAAAACGCAAAAAAATCCAGGAGCTCAGAGGGAAACAAGCAAGCGTGCTTAAACTGCAGGAAAACGTATGGCCAAGGTGCAATTCGTTTTAATTTTGCTTCTGACTGGTTGAAAAGTTCCAGATCAATCAAAGAGCTAAGTGAAGCAATTCTGGATCACTTAAAACCCTTTACACCCAAAGATCAGTATGCATATTTACAATGTTAGTGCTATATTTCCAATGGGTCTGACGAGGAGAATTTGTTCACTGAATTAAGAGCTCTGGTGGGTGATCATTTCCCTTATTCTCATGACGCTAATGTTTGATTCATCAATGATACTGTAAGGAGAAATTGGATACCAATCACTCTTAGGGGTCCCAAGGTTAACTGTCGATCGAAAATTGCTCTAGATTCAAGTTGTAAAGTAGGACAGTCACCACAGGGAGTCGGCTCTTGAGTGTCGACTCGTACGAGTGCCCTTAGTACCAGAGAAGATGGCGGTTCTGGATGGCTATTTCCGTAGTGGTTTAATTAAATCCTTAAAGTTTTCAATGTATTTGGTTTTGTCCAATTCGTAAATGGACTTTTAAAGAGACAGATGTCCACGATAGACTAACATAAGATGCAGGAGTTAGAAGAGTACCCTATTGCAATGAAAACGGCACAATAACAACACCACCAGAGAAAATCAAAAGAGAAAATCATTAGAGAAAATCAAGCAAACCTGGGATGAATAACTTGACTATTTCAACCCTCCTCAGACTACAAAACGCTCTATCGTCTCGCAGCAGTACGCTTAAGGTTACCGAATCCACAGCCATTCTTTTTATAAATTTCTGCGCGCTTGCTGGAAATATAATTTTATACTGGGCTATTCGAAGAAACTGCCGCCTTCGACAAAATACCACGAATTTATTCATTTCATCTCTGGCTGTGTCTGATATACTTATGGCCCTTCTTTGTATGCCGTTTTCAATCGGAGTTTTCATTCTAGGACGTTGGGTGTATGGCGAGTTGGCTTGTCAGCTTCATGGATTCGCTTTCTTCGTGTTGGTGTTTGTATCGCAAGAAACTATGGCCCTGATTGCAGTAAACCGCTACCTAAACGTTACAAAACCAGCCGTTTATCGAAGAATCTTTACACGTACAAGGTCGCTCAAAATGATCGTATTGGCATGGCTAGTTTGCGTAATTTACGTCGGTACTTTTGCCATTCTGAAGTGGCCAATTTTCATTTTTGACCCCGGCAAGACAATCTGCCACATTAGGTTAACAGATCGCTATTTTAAGACCGCCTGGAATATAATAACAATGGCTGTTTTTGCGCTTGCACCGATGGCCACCCTTTTATTTTGTTATTGGCGGGTTTTGGTGTCCGTTCGTAGACACAATACTGCAACTTTACGCTCGCTTCGCGCTGGAAGTCTGCAAAGAAGTGCCCATGCACTGGAAGATGTAAAGATTAATAAGATCATTCTGGGTCTGATAGCGGGGTACTTTTGTTGTTGGCTGTCAGCATACGGTATTTCTTACGTCGAACTAGCTTACCCTGCAATCTCAGTTCAGCGTTTCCCCCAAACTCTTTGGGCATTTCTGGTATTCAGTTCGAGTGCCATTAATTCTGTTATTTATGGAATTCTGAACAGAACATTTCGAGTAGAAATTCTCAAGATAGTGACTTGCAAAAAGAGGCGGAGATCGAGCTAACGAAAACAACATCACGAATCGTGTTTTGTAAAGAAAAAGAAACTACATTGTTGTCATTTTTGAATCTATATGTGTATAGCTGATTTTGAAAAAAATTCCCGCTCGTAAGTCATGTGATACACTCACTTTTTCCAAAGGGGGAGAAATAGAGAGGGGA